GGTCCTTCCATCTTCTGATGTCTTCTGCAATCTCTTTCTTTAAGGATTTAAACTTTTCATTATAGAAGTCTTTAATGTCCTTGGTCAGGTTTTTCCCACAATATTTCTCACAGAATTTCTCTGATTGCTTGTTATTGGTATGTAGAAAGGCTACTGACTTTTGTAGGTTAATTTTGTAAACTGCCACTTTACTGAACTTGTTAATAATTTCTTGGAGTTTTCTGGTGGAATTTTTGGCATCTCTTAGATATCATAATCATCTGCAAAAGGGGTAATTTGATCTCTTCTTTTCCAATTATTATTCCTTTAATTTCCTGCTCTTGTCTTATTGCTCTTGCAAGAGTTTCAAGTACTATGTTAAAGAGGAGTGGAGGTAGTGGACACCCTTGCCTGGTTCTTGTTTTTAATAGGAATGCTTCCAGTTTTCTCCATTTAGAATGATGTTGGCTGTGGGTATGTTGTATATGGCCTTAATTATGTTGAGGTATGTTCCCTCTAGTCCAATTCCCCCTGGGACTTTGATCATAAATGCATGTTAAATTTTGTCAAAGGCCTTCTCTGCATCTATTGAGATGACCATGTGGTTCTTGTCTTTAAGTCCATTTATATGATTTATGACATTTATTGATTTACATATATGGAACCATCCCTGCATCTCTGGAATAAAGCTGACTTAATCATGGTGGATGATCTTTTTGATGTGTGTCTGTATGTGGTTTGCAAGTCTTTGGTTGAAAATTTTTGCATCTATGTTCATTAAGGATATGGGTCTATAGTTTTCTTTTTTGGTTGTATCTTTACCTGGCTTTGGTATTAGAGTGATGCTGGCTTCATAGAAGGAATTTTGAAGTACTCTCTCCGTTTCTATTTTTGAATAAATTAAGTAGTATTGGATGCAGATCTTCTTTAAATGTCTGATAGAATTCTGCTGTATATCCATCTGGTCCTGGGCTTTTTTCAGTCGGGAGGTTTTGTATTACTGTTTCAATTTCCTTATCTGTTATACATCTGTTTAAGCTGTTGATCTCTTCTTGGTTCAGTTTTGGTGGTTCCCATGCCTTTAGATACCCATCCATTTCTTTTAGGTTTTCAAATTTAGTATCGTATAGGTTTTTAGAGTATTCCCTTATAATGTTCTGGATCTTTCTGGTGTCTGTTGTGATGTTTCCCCTTTCATCTCTGATTTTGTTGATTTGGATGTCTTCTTTCTTTCTTTTGGTTAACAGGGCTAGGGGGTCTGTCAATCTTGTTTATTTTTTCAAAGAACCAGCCCTTGGATTCGTTGATTCTTTGTATTGTTTTCTTTGTTTCTATTTCATTAATTTCTGCCCTGATATTTGTTATTTCTTCTTGTCTACTAGGTTTGGGTTTCATTTGTTGTTGAAATGTTTAGTCATTTGAATTTTTTGTTTTGGAATTTTCTCGATATTCATGTTTTTCTTCCTCTGTGAACTTCAGAATCCATTTGTCCAATTTATTAACAATTTCCCTCAGCTATTGAATCCTTTTATCTTAGAAATAGGCTGTCTAGCCGCTCCTGGAGTTCCAGTTTTCAGTTTTGTTCTTGTGACTTTTCCTTCTTGGTGCAGGTTACGCACCAAGCCTGTTTCCTATCACACTTCCTCACAAGCAGTTTTTGTGGACGCAGCTTCCTTTCTAACCCATGTACTAAGCGCTCAGTTTGCTTACAGGTTGTTCTGCTTGGCTCTCTTGGATGTTTCAGATGTGCAACTCTATCATGAACATTGAGAATTTTATACCTAATTTCTGCCAACTACATTAGCTAACACCAACTGAGGTTAAATAATAGCAGGGTTTTATTATTACTATTGGTTTTTTGTTTGTTTTATTTTATTACTTTAGCATAGCATAATTGTAGCATTAAGGCTAATGATAAACTCAGGCTTGAATGAATATAAAACCATAAATTTTTAGCCCAGGTTCCATGAAGTGCAGAGCCCAAGTTAGCCTGGCACTGTACCTTCGAGTGAAATACTAAGCTTTCTACTTACACAAGGGAAAGCGAAGGTCACCTGGCTGTGGGGATTTCTCTGGACAGGCCCCGGCTGGAGTAGTCAGGGCTCCACCTGTTGCTTCCTGTGGAAGGACAGGGCAGCCAGGATTACTTGAGCAAAATGATTTGTTTCTCATTTTGTATACTTCTCTCACTTTCTTTAGTAAGCCAGTTCCTTTATTTTTTATAAATTAGGTTCTCAACCCTTCATGCCCTGATGCAGAACAAGTTGCAACTTCTTATTTAAACTTTTCAATGAAAGAATGCAGTAAATTGAAGACAAGGATGCCATATTTAGAATTCACAGGTCAATGTGTATGTTGGAGGCTCAGCTTTTGCTCCAAAGCAATGTTCAGCTGTGCACCATACATACATAACCATTCAAGGTTTTCTTTATGGTTAATGTTCTATGAACCTTTTGACCCAAGTAAATCTTGAAAGATCTCTTTGAAATTTTTTACATTGAGAGGACTGTTAAGTTACTGGTGTTGCTCTCCAATTTTATGGCTGTTTTCAAGGTTTTTTTTTTTTTTCCTGAAAATTCTCATGAGAATTACTTTTCTTGAAATAGTCTAAGTGTTTGAAAAATGAAAGGCCATTGTAATTTGTTTTCTTTTATGAGTGATATAACCATTGTGCCTGTGAGTCAGAGGATTTTGTGGTTTGAATGAGGAATGTCCCCTATAGACTCATGTATGTGAACACTTGGACCCCAGTTGGTGGTGATGTTAGGGGATATTAAGGAAGCTGTAGGAGGCTCAGCCTTGCTGGAGGAAGTATGTCACTGGAGGTGGAATTTGGGGGTCTATAGTCTCACTGCCTGTCCACTTCTCTGCTTCCTGTTTCTGCAAGCACACCCTGCCTTCCCACCCATGATGGACCCGACCTTCTGTACCCATAAGCTAAAATAAATGCTTTCAGCCGTGGTATTGTATCGCAGCAACAGAGAACTACCCCAGGATTCTTTTCTGCTTTTAAAGGACCTTAATTTCCTAGAATATGTCTTAGTTTGTTCATTGTGAGACATGTCACTGTGGTGTGTTATGCTTCTTTGAACTCTAGAATTAAGTCCTTTTTAATTATCATTTTCAGGAACCTTCCTGCATTAAAGTATGTCTTGAAACCTTTTCTGTTCTGTCTGATTAGTCTTTGCCCAGGCTCAGGCTCAAGGGTATTTGATATAAATTTTGTGGCTTTGGAGGTGGCCTTCATTTCTTTAATTGCCAGTTTTCCTGTGTCATTTTTATCTTTGAGCCTGTATATCTGTGCCCTGAACTCTAGTTTTTGTCTACTTTTCATTAGTAGAGGATTCTTCAAGTCAAGGAGTCTAAGTATTGTCTATTCCATTGCAAATTTTTCATTTGCAAGTTTTTGTGTTGTTCTCTGAGTTTGAGTAGATTTCAGTCAGATTAATAAATAGTTTTTAAAACTAATATAGAACATTGTAAAACTAGTATATAACAATTTAAAAGATTTTATTTATTTTCTTATGTGTGTAAGTGTATTGTATGCATGTTAAGTGCACCCACATAATGCAATGCTAAAGGATGCCAGAAGAGGGCATTGAATCCCCTGGAACTGGAGTTGTAGATGGTTGTTAGCCATCATGTGGGTGCTGGGAACCAAACGTGGGACCTCTGCAAGAGCAGCCAGTGCTCTTAACTGCTGAGCCATCTCTCCAGCCCCCAAACTACTATAGAACAATTTAAAGGAAGTTTCTTCTAATTAAAAATTTGCTCCATTCTAAACAGTCTGGCACAGTGTTGGGAGGAACGACTTTGATCTTCCTTCCCTTTGGCAGCAATCTTCTATATACCTCCTGCTTCTGCTCTTTCTACATAGATAAAGAGATGAGACTTTCCATTTACAAAATAGTGGCAATGCTGGTGCCTGCCTTACAATGTTCTTACATGCCTAGAACATTGCCTGGCACATTCTAGCACTTTAATAAATGGTAGTGATTAGTCAATTCTGCTTTTTATAATCACAGTGGAATTTGTTTCAGTCTTTCTCTTTTAGCCTAAAAGAAATTAAAAAAAAAAATCTTGCGACCACTCTTTCTCATAGAATAAGCAGCCAGGCCAGGTGGATTTTGAGAAATCTACAAGGTAACAGAAGTAGGTCCCATGGAAAGAAGTGGTATAAACCAAAGGTAAGAGCCCAGAGAATCAGAACACCTTACCTGTGCCACATGAACCCTGACCAATAGCGGGACCTCCCAGAGACACAGGACTGGCAAAAGCAACTCACGGTCAAATCCTAACAAGCTGGTGAGATCACTTGCCTATTTACAAAAGGTCTATATCTTGCCATCCACTCCACAGAGCCATGGGGCACCCTGTAGTTGTCCTTTACTTGTGGCTTCTCACTGGTTCACACAGTATGTATTGCAGAACCAAGGACTCGGGACTCCTGAAACCTCTTGACTGCTTTCAGTCACTGAGCATTCAGGGGAGGTGGGAACAACTCAGATGGCGTTTCCCTCATGGTCCCTCCACATTGCTCCCGAGTCCTCACAGGCATCCTCGAAGGCTCCTTCCTTATCCTCTTTCCTCCCTGCAGTAGGGCCTGAAGTAGATCAAGTGTTTATCACCCCTGGTTAGTAGACTATAGATTCAAAGCTCTTACCCTTTAATAAGCTGCAATGCCGTTTTTCAACTCCCAGTTGTATGTGCTTACTTTGCTGCTACAGTGAAAAAGTCTATGAACCAATCACCTGGTTACTTGCTTGGGTTGGTGGTAGGGAAAGATTTCCGGCATTATGTAAATAGCTTCCACATGCTATCTTAAGCACTTTGTGAGATGAGGCTTTTTAAAATTAGTAGCACTAATGGCCTGTATTTGTTTTGTCGTACAGTAACAGCATATGGAGCAATTCCACTCCCAGGTGTGTCATTGTCTACATTTCACAGCAAGAGTGAAGTCAATCATTAGAGATTATATTCCATACCATCTGGAAACTGACTTCCATCAATTATTATTTTAGGTCTCCCTTGCCAGAATGAAATGAACAAAATTCAGAAGCTGAGCAAGGGGAAAAGCCTGTTGGGTAAGTGCAGTTTCTTGCCACTCATTTGAAGAACTAATTAAACCATCCACATTTCCTGTAATGTTCAGCACTATAGTGATTATTCAATTAGGGACAGCGTCTATGGAAGAAATGCCTCATTTTCCCCCAGCCTGAGCTTCTGCAGATAGCTGTTCATATATAGAGGATGTACTGACCAGCAAAAGGGGCCAGAGGTCAGGCAGCAACTAACAGACTGCTCAGCTGTGCTTGAAGTCTAGTACCTTCTCTGTGGCTAATTCCCTCTGATCCTGGGCTATAATGTCTTGGATTTTTTACCTAAAGCCATTGAATGGAGCACACAAGTATTCCCTAGCTCTTAAAGTGAAAGGCTTATCAATTAGAGCACTCCTTCTATTCTCCAGACCAAGCGAGCTGTCCATTCAAAGAACAAGGCAAGCTGTAACTCCTCCAGAATTTAAGATGGAGTTGAAGGGCATGTACCTCTCTGTTGATCTCCTGTCTTTGGATGGAAATGTTCAGGCTATTTAGACACTGCTTCTTTCTCCTATGTCTTTAAGGCAGAAGAAAGTAGGTTGTAGAGTGTATGTTCCTTTTGGGTCCTCTGCTCCAGGACCGGGGAAAATGGTGGCCTTCGTGCCAGGCCATCACAACACTGGCAAGCCTTTTTGATGAAAACAGTCACCAGCCTCCCTACATTTGCAACGTAGTAATTCAGAATTATTCTTGTTAAGGATTCAGAAGCAGGTGCATTCCCTGAGCAGCCTGCTAGTTCAGAAGTTAATTTACTGAATAGGGAAATGGGGAAGTTTTCCTGCAGCTTGCCAAATGCAGGCTGTCTATGAATCCTGGCAATTTATCTTCTGAATTTTTGGGTCACTTCATAGTATACAACCTCTCCTCCTTTTGAAAATTATTTCCATGGCTTACCTCATAGTTTTTGTTTTTTGAGACAGGGTCTCCCTGTAGCCCCAGCTGACCTTCAGTTTGCTGTGTGGACCAGGCTTGCCTTGATCTCAGAGATCTGCCTGCCAAGTTTGGGGGTTAAGGTGTGTGTGCCACCATACTGGGCTCGTACTTTTGATTTTTGAGTGGACTCCAAAGTTATGATTTGGAACTCTTGGAGTCTTGGTTCCTCTATATTCAATGACATCTTTCTGACTGAAGGCAAAGTGGCTGAACCCTTCCTCCATAGGTTTTGTCTAATCCAAGGACTTTTTCTGACTAGTTGTATTCTTATGTGAGGTGATATACCCAAGATCTATATGAAGCTATGCAACTATAGTATTTTTCAATAGAATTAAAAATCTCTTGGATATGGTGTCATTCATTAGTGGGAGGGGGGTTAGGTATATCATCTGAGATGTCTTATCTCCTCAGCACACACGTGCCCACCTTTGTTCTACCACGAATCTCTCACATTCAAAAATGCCATCTATTTCCTTCCAAATTATTTTCTGCAAGGGGGAAATCTGATATAACAACTGTGTATTCAGGGATATTCAGACTCAAATAAATAAATAAATGAAACAAGCAACAACAAATTATAATCAGTTATAATTACTGCTTACTTAGAAAAAGCAGTAATCTTATTAAATTATAGACTTAGCATGCCTGTTTCTTACCAACCTGGAGACTAAGCCCAATTTTAATTTATTTTTTGGTCTATTAAGTGCTGTTGTTTCTAACTGCTGCTCAGGGAAAGACAAGCATTCCCAATGCGCTCTGCTTGCTCTCTTGCTTTGCAGTCTTTGATTGAGCAACTCTGTTCACCAATCTTCCTGTCTTTTCATTATGTGTGCTATGGAGAGAATCTTCTTTATTTCCCTCTATTGTACCTGAAAACTAGGGATCATGTATATTAGCTTGAGCCCCCAGGGGAGAGAGGGAGGTTATTGAGCACTGGGTACCAGCCATCTTTCTAAGTGCTGACTACAGTGTTGGGACACCTTTGTAGTCTCTATCTCATTTGACTTCTTTATTTCTGGATGCTCTGTCTGGTGACAAGTGTGAGAGCAAATTCCACACTCATAGTTCAAAACTATAGAAATCTCTCCTCCGTTGTCACACTTTTGGGGGGTATCCTTCCATGAACTAATAGTTAAATTTTAAAAACACAGTTGCAGAGCTGGGGAGATGACTCAGAAGAGCTGCTCTTGTAGAGGACCCAGGTTCAGACCCCAGCACCCACATGGCAGCCAAGTTCCAGGGGGATCTGATGTCCTCTTCTCACCCCTGCAAGTATTGCACACATCAGGTGCAGTTACATACCTGCAAGCAAAACACTCATACACTTAAAAACAAAACAAAACAAAACACAGTTACACCAAAAGACAGAGTTAGGGGGTGGAAAGCTACAGGGTAAGCAAAGGACTCGGTTTCAATGATATAAGGATAGTTCTTAGAATTCCCCCCAAAAGGTGAACTCACAGGCATAAAAAGATCACCCACTGTTAAAGGAGGGTCAGACTTCCATTGGTAACACCAGTTTAGGAAAATAACTTTCAACTCAAGATTTTAAACTTATCCCAATATGGTGACAGAGATTTTCAACCCATCTCAGATCTGTGTATTTGACAATCAAAGACTTACTGAAGTATTTACTATATCAGGTAAATGATCCTGGAAGATTGATTCAGATGTAATTGTCAAAAAGAATACCACTAAATATGGGGGCTGGAGAGATGACTCAGCTGTTAAGAGCACCGGCTACTCTTGCAGAGGACCTGGGTTCAATTCCCAGCACCCACATGGAGGCTAACAACCATCCTAACTCCAGTTCCAGGGGATCCGACACCTTCTTCTGACCTCACAGGCATTGCACAACATGGGTGCACTTACATACATGCAGGCAATACACTCATACACATAAAAATAATAAAGTAAAAAAACCCACTAAAATCTAAATACAGCATTTAAGAATGTTTTGACTGCAGGGTGTGGTAGCGCCCATCTTTAATCCCAGCACTTAGGGAGCAGGTGGACTTCTTGAGCTAGAGGCCAAACTAGTCTATGTAGTGACAGTCTGTCTCAAAAAACAACAACAAAAAAGTTTTTCATAGCAATCTAGATTTAACATTATAGACTGTTGAGGTCAATGGGGAAAAAATGTGCCAAAATGAGTTAAATTTATGGCTTATCCAGGAAGAAAAGAAAATATAGATCAACCTTAACTCTCACTAGGAAAAAGTATGCTGCTCTGTGGGAAATTTAAGGGTAACCTCTAGACTACCAGAAATAGAATAGTTTTTAAACATGAAAGAAAGACACAGAAAAAAAATCTGGAGATTTCCACAGGAGGCAGGAAACAGGAACCATGAGACTCGGGAGGGGAGGCTGAAATGAGAGCAGACAATCCATCATCATCACCATCAATGCACATGGGCCAGACTCAGGTATCATAAGGCAGAGACTTTGATTGAATTTTTAAAGTTACACCTAACCAGTTGTATTGAAAGCTGATATTAAAAGGAGGAAGATATTCCTTTTAATAACATGTTAACATCTGGTACCGGCACACACTTTGCCTTTTAAAGCCAGAGATGTCGCAGTACAGGAATGCATCCTGCCCTGATTGACCATCATTCAGTGTAGTTGTAACTCTAAACTACAGATAATAGAACTGTACAAATAGTTCACACAGACAAAAACAACCCTGCCATAGAAGAATTAAACCGCACGCTTAATTCGCATTCATATTTACATGTGCATTTCTGCAGATTAGCATGCATATCGGCCATAGGTAGCCCCACAGGAGAAAAAGAATTCAGACAATCACATCTCAAATTCACTAGCCCAGATACACTAAATAGAAGTGAAAAAATGAGATGTCAGAGAAACAAAGTAAATAAAGCCTAGAGGAAAGTTTACACTGAAGGAAAATGTGGAGGCGTTTGCACGGAACTACAGAAAGAAGGCAAAGCCTGGAGGAATGTGGGCAGCTTCCAATGCCATTAGGAAAACTAATGATCAAAACTAGATTTTCAATTCAAAAACCAGGAGAAAAACAATCAGCTGAGATGATTGAAGAAAACAATGAAAAAAATAACAGAGACTACAGCACATTAGAAATGATTATTCTTTCAGCAAACTAATAAAATGGAGAAAGCTTAACAGTGTGAGGCAAAAGGCTGGAATAGTTTCACAAACTTAAAAGCAAATAGTATGTGCTCAGTACAGGGCAACACTGGATTTCTGGCTCTCAAAACTCAGTTTTGAGAGGGGATCCAGGAAACACTCATTCCTAAGCACATTCCAGATTACACAGTCCAAATCTATCCTTGGACTACATTATGAGAACCAGAGCTATAGTTTCTAAAAATTATGAAAATGTAGATGAAATATTTGTATTTGTTACTTTTCTCATTGCTGTGACAGAACACCTGAGATAACAGCTTAAAGGTGGAAACATTCATTTAGACTCACAGTTTTGTGGGTGTCAGCTCATCATGGCAGGGCAGGGCACACTTTGGAGGAAGTGGCTTATGTGCCTCCAGTGACATACTTCTCCAAGTATCCCCATCCCCTACCATCCACCTGCTCCTCTTGGCAGTGGTATAAGAGAAGATACAGCCCAGCATGGCTGCCAGCAGCCTAAGGAGCTCCCTTTCCCTCTAGAGAACTCCACTCAGGTACAGCCAAACCTTTGCCTTTGTCATAGAAAGGAATTTCAGGATTAGCCAGAGCAGAGTTGGAGTTCATTAAAAAGATATTTTAAAATATAGACTTAAGCATGAGGGTTAAGAGAATACTCAGAGACAGAATACAGCACTCAAGAATATAGATGTGGGCTTTTCAAATGAGGGTAGTGCATAGCTGTCTTTACAGTAGCCATGTTTACAATGTTGGTGGGTTATTTGTGAAGCTACATCTTCAAAGAGCTGCAAAGGAGTCCAAATGAGATCATAGGTGGTACCTGAGGTGCACCAGGATTCGATCCAAGGTAAAACCCTAGATCATGAGAGTTTCATGGGAAGAGTCTTGCTTGTTAGATTTTCAGGAAATATTTCGGGGAAGGAGTGAGACCGTTCTGAATCGTGTAGGCTCCAGCCTTTGGCATGTTCATTGCTATTTTAACATTCTTATTTGAAATTTTCTACATAAAGAAATACCATCTCTCTGTGGGCAATCCTTACAGAATGTTGTAAAAATTGATGCTCAGCTGTCAAGAAGCTTTAAGTAGACTCTGGAGAGAGGGGCTCCCTTCAGGATTCCCTGTCTCTATCCTGCCTCGCTCCCAGCAATGCCACTGTATTTTGAAGCCATGCAGGGATTAGCCCATTCATTGGCCCATGCCCTCAGAGACACCTCAGAGGTGTGCTTTATGAATTGCAATCTAATCAAGTTGACAAGAATTAACCATCACAGTTACCAAATTCTGATCACAAACTGAGAATACAAAAGAGCAAAACCATGAAATTCATCCACCCCAAATAGGTAGACCCAAAACAGTTTTATGGGTGAACCCTTCAAGGACGAGGTTGTCCTTGCTTTATGGAAAGATATATGGAGTAAGGAAAACCATCTGAATCATTTTATAAATAGGAATTGCAACCGATAAATTTAGAAGGAATTTATCCCTTAGTCACATGTATTAAAAAAATATAAAGTGAATTAGTAGCATTCCAGTAACAAAGGGTGACCAAGTGTTGTTTACTCAAAAAAAAGCAGTTTTCTGTTATACCACTTCACACACACACACACACACACACACACACACACATGAATGAGAGTTTTCTAATACATACCACTTAATCAAATTTATTTTATAAGTGAAAAAGCATATGAAAGGTGACAACCATATAATTTTCTCAAGTGCTTAAATACAGTAATTACTAACAGCAGTACCCATCTGATTTAAAGGGAAAGGAAGAAGCCATTAATGAAAGACTAGACTAAATTCTGTCTAGCCTTGGGTGAGTTAACTACAGTCTGTCACTGTTTTCATCTGAAAACAGGAAGGAGGCCGTTAGCCACAACACGGTTGGTGCTACTGAGGAAAGCCCCTGACTATTATCAGGACGGCTCAGTGACTTTATGGAACAGTGTGTGCCACTGGCTTGTAGGTCACAAAAACTCTTGTTGTGGGTCAGCAGTAGGTACAGAAACCCATGTTTTTATAGCAATTTTATAGTCATTGCACATGGTTTCACCAACTATTGGTCCAAAATAGGCTACAAATTAAAATAAACAAAAGCAAGCTCTTCATCACAGAAGTCTGAGGAGTCATACTTTTCAGAGTCAGACTGAATGATAGGAAGCTGGATTGCATAATCATTAGCAGGTTCCTTGGACATATTATTGAATTTTCCTGTATTCAGTTTCTTATTCAGGGGTAACAATGGTACATATCTCAGATTGGTGCAGATGAGATTATGTGA